TTTCTATTTCTTGTTAACAGTTAATATATTTCAACCTTGAAAATGACTGAATGTATAGCCGAATGCGCTTGAATAAAAAGAAAAATTGGACAGTTTTTATATAATTTATCACCCGAAAATAAAAAAAGATTATGAGATCACATGAGAAATTGTTTAAAAAAATAAATCAGAACACCTTGTCTGTCGTATTCAATGAAATGTACACACACATATATATATATATATATATATATATATATATATATATATATATTTCATTAAATCGACTGAGAAGGTACTGCGATTAAGCTTTTTATTAAGATTTTCTTTTCTTCGTATAAGTGTTTTGACTCCTGGAAATAACGTGTTTAAAACTTGTCCGATTGTTCAGTACACGGTCAGCAAATAAAAATGTTTGGAAAATAAAAATAAAAAATTCCCATCACTATAGATACAAATATGGAAAAATCTACATATTCAGTTAAAAATTTGACAAATCTCTAACAGAATAGCCGAAAGCACTTGGGTATATAGAACATTAGGACAACTTTTGCACTTTAAGGACACTTTATGTCCAGAAAAGAAAACACTTATATGGACACAAAAAAAAAAAATCACAAGTTTAATCGCAGAACCTCTATCATTCGTCTTTTCTAAAATTTGCATAAAACAGAGATTTCTACCCAAATATACAATTATATATATATATATATATATATATATATATATATATATATATATATATATATATATATAAAAACTTAAACACTAATATTCCATGGTCATAATTTATTCCATTGGAATCGTAAATACGATCAATTCATCAGACCTACAAATTCAAAAGAAAACAGAAAAAACAAAAAAAACTTCTTTTTTTGGGGTTTTTTTCTGTTTTTTTTTTAATTGTAGGTCTGATGAATTGATCGTATTACGATTCCAATGGAATAAATTATGACCCTGAATATTAGTGTTTGTCCTTTTTATCATTCCTTTAGTTTCTCATTGAGTTCTACCTGGATTTTATCCTCTTGGAATTTTTATTCAAAAATATACATGTATGCGTATTTATATATTTTGCATATGTATGTATATTTACCACTAATATTATCTATCTATCTATCTATCTATCTATCTATCTATCTATCTATCTATCTATCTATCTATCTATCTATCTCTCTCTCTCTCTCTCTCTCTATATATATATATATATATATATATATATATATATATATATATATAAAATATAAAATATAAATTAATGACAAAGTGTAAAAAATTATTTATGTGAAGCATTTACACTGAAAATACTTTTAAGCTCCTCGAATACCCTAATTATTCAACGCGAAACAAAAGACTCGTAAAATATTTGAAATGGAAGAATGAACCATTCTGAAAAACCCAATGAGTCAAAATATTATTCTACTAGCTAACACCCAGCTACAATTGAAAAGAATTTTATCTAAACTTAACATATAATTTGTTACGACTACAGGAATCCCTCGATTAATGCGCATTCGATTAATGCGTTTTCGATTTGTGGCTGAAATTTTTTATACCAAAATTCGATTAGTGCATACATAATACTCGATTCGTGCGGTAAAACAGTTTAACCATAATAATTGAAAATTGATTTTTTATAGTTGTTGATAAATTAAAAATTTTCAAAAATTTAAAAATGGAAATTGGGTAACTATTTTGCTTGTCAATTTTGCTTATATTCGATTAATGCGCTTTCGATTAGTGCGTATGTTTTAATGTACAAAATTGCAGCACTAATCGATGGATTCCTGTACTTCTAAAACAATAAAAGACTTAATTAATATAAAACAAAATAATAATAATAATAATAATAATAATAATAATAATAATAATAAACAAAAACGGTGCCTTCTTATTGATATGGCAGTCCCTGCTGACTGCAATGTATCTTTGAAGATATTCAAAAAGCTGTCGAAATACAAGGACCTTGAAATAGAAATCTCGAAAATGTGGCGTATGGGAACATCAACAATCCCTGTTGTAGTTGGAGCCCTAGGACTGGTTGGAAAAGATTGCAGTAGACTAATTGAAGTGATTCCTGGAAGTCCATGCCTCAAGGAGATACAAAAATTGTTCTGACAAGTACAGCCCACACTTTACGAAGGGCTTTATCTATGTAAATTCTTTTTTTTTTTTTTTGTCAGTGGAAAGTGTCATGCTGCCATTTCTAACCTTAGGTCCCTGGGCGGAACCCGGAAAGAAATGTGTAAACACCAGAAATCAAAGAAAATAAAAATAATAATAATAATAAGCTAAAACTTGAAAGTAATAATTGTCATAAAGACATAAGATAAACCTCGAAGAACTTAAATGAAAGATTATATGAATACAAATGGTATCTTTGACTAAAACAACACACTTAATAAATGGTTTGCTGATCTAAATGAGTCTGGTCATAATTTCAATTTAAAAAATGCTGCTTTAATTAAAAAGAAGGTAGTTTACTAAGACGAAATTGTATAGAAAGTGCTTTAATCGCTAGACCATCCACAGTAGATTTGCGTTCAGGTTCTTACAGCATTTCACTTTTCTTAGAAGATATTTTATTATCACAATGCGGGAGACTTAAAAACAACAAAAGTGCTAAAAGAATAAAGAATAAAGAAATTAAATGAAATCAGTCAGGCGATACATACAACCACATATTTTTAAAATTGGAAATGAAATGTTTAAAAGTAAATATTTCAGTATCCCTTCTCCTTGATTCGCATGTGGAGTTACATCAACGTAAATATCACTTCAAGTCAAATGAAGTCCCAAAGAATGAAAGTCCACACACGAAAACAATTTTCCACTTTGTAATTAATTTTCCTAACATAGTTCTCGTATATAAAATTATATATAATTTTCTCCCATATATATATATATATATATATATATATATATATATATATATATATATATAGAAAATTTCTCCGATTTAACCAGTAGAAGACAATATTTATGAATAAAAATGACAATAGGAAAACTGGTAATTGCTGACGCGTTTCGTCCAATGTGGACTTTATCAAAAGCAAAATACGAAAATGAAACAAATATACACAACAGATTCATGAATCTGTTGTGTATATTTGTTCACTTCAGCAATTACCAGTTCATTGTCATTTTAATAAATATTGTCTTCTCTGCTGATTAAATCGGAGAAATTTTCATATATATATATATATATATATATATATATATATATGGGAGAAAATTATATATATATATTAATAAATGAAACAAATATACACAACAGATTCATGAATCTGTTGTGTATATTTGTTCATTTTCGTATTTTGCTTTTGATAAAGTCCACATTAGACGAAACGCGTCCTTGAATTACCAGTTTTCCTATTGTCATTTTTATTCATAAATATATATATATATATATATATATATATATATATATATTGGCTGCCAAATCATTATGTGTTTATTTAGACTGAGCTAAACATATAATTGTAATTTATAGTTTGTGTTGGGGAATAAAGCGTATTTTTTTTTTTTTACCAATTTCAATTTCAAGGTGGAAAAATTTACTTTGAAGAGATTCTGCATAATTTTAAACTTATTTCAAATACGAAGTTTTGAAAGATGATTGTCCAGCCTAGCTTTCAAACACATCTGTGTTTTAAGTTTACAGAATATACATTTCCTGTTCCTAGACGCCATTTACAGGAGCGTTTGCCAAATCATCTATTTCTCGTGTGCGCATCACCTACAAGCGACTAGTAGATTTTAGAAAACGCGTATCTTTCAAGATGTGGCCATCGTGTACAGAAGAGACAGCAGCCAAAACACTGAGAAGAACAAAGACGCTGAATATCTGTTCGTGCGATTACACATTATCGGCATTGTGCCTCGGGTGTATGTTTCCATAAGATGTCCAATGCCCTCCCCGCAGTTATTCCGCAAGGGTAAAATCAAGCAGTTTGCGAGACTCCGATGAAATCTGGAAAGAAAAAAAAAGAAGTTTGTATTGATTGATTTGTTTTTACGACTTAACAACCTTTTTCAGGTTGCCGTATATTTCCGCGTATAAGACGACATTTAAAATCCAAAAATTACCCTTAAAAATTAGGGGTCGTCTAATACTATAATTCTAAAAAAAGAAACATTAATTCTGAGTGTTTTTTGTCGGCCGTTTTGCGATAACCAATAACGTACATGAAAAGATTCACATTATCAAATAAATTGCTAAGAAAAGTAATAAAACCATTCATAACTTATATATTACTGGCATAACTTCATAATAAATTGCCCATTCGAAGATTAATTCCATATCAATCAAATTAACTTGTCTCCATGCAAGCCCAACTGAGAAAATGTAAACATTATGATTGCGTTCACAGCAATAGAATGTACTATCATCGTGCATTATTGTACTGTTATTAGAGGTATTTTGTGATTGTTGATGAAGTATAAGTAAATGGTCATTAGTACACCAGGCTGTTTGTAACTGTTTAGATATAGGAAGGAAGAGGAAGAAGAAGAATCAGTATTCGCAAGAGATCACGTGATGAAACGTGAACAAAACAATGGTTTCCCTTTTAGGGGACGTGTGTAGGAAAAACATGATATAAAATCGGTTTTGTTATCTCGTTTAGTTTGAATTTCTAAAGCTACAGTAAGTAACGACATTTCCAAGAACATCATCTATATATAATCAATAAGTAGTCGTCTTAGACTACAGGTATAGGATAAATTCATGAAAATTTGCAGTATTTTTGGACCTGGTCTTGCCTAGAGGTTGCCTTATATGCGGAAATATATGGTATTTAAAGCCAGAAATATTTTTTGATTGTAAGAATGTTTGGGAGGAAATAATGATTTTTACTGATACAAGTCCTACTAAATAAATTAATGCCGCAGGAAGAAAATGTGGATTCATACCTTACCCCAGGGTAAGTGAACATAATGAACCCGGCTGGAAATGGAATTCGGTTCTCCGATTTCCAATATTGACTTGTTATCTATTACACCACCCGCATATCCATGCTTATAGCACCTAGTATTCCCAAGCGGTCACCTATCTAGGTACAGACCAGGCTTGACGTTGCTTAACTTCGGTGATCGTACGAAAACCGGTTTTTCAACGTGATATGGCCGTAAGTCAATGAGATTCTAAAAATTGTGTGTAGTTATGTGCCCTTAACCTCGAAGCCATTGACTTCATGTTCGCTGATCGTTTAGTTACTGTTAGTTTTTTTTTATATATATATTGTAAGTCATTTAAATAAAGTATATATCATAGAATTGCTGTCCCGATACACAACTATACAGAGAGAGAGAGACACACACAAATATATATATATATATATATATATATATATAACTGAGATAACGATATATAAATTTTATATATCAAGAACAATATTGGGGGAAAGTCAAAAAAAAAGTTTCCGTCTAACACGTTTCGTCCTTTAGGACTTCATCAGACCAAATTTGTTATGTAGGTGTTAAAAATATTAAAATTTGAAAAAATCTAAAATTCCCAGCACCAGTCGTTCGTACACATAAGAAGTCGCATCAACATAACAAATTTAGTCCGATGAAATGCGTCACACGAAAAAACTTTTTAGACTTGGTTATATATTTTCGCCCAATATATATATATATATATATATATAAATATTCAAATATATATATATATTCATATATATATATATATATATATATATATATATATATATATATATATATATTTGAATATACATACATACATACATATCTATCTATCTATCTATTTATATATATATATATATATATATATATATATATATTTGAATATACATACATACATACATATCTATCTATCTATCTATTTATATATATATATATATATATATATATATATATATATATTTGAATATACATACATACATACATATCTATCTATCTATCTATTTATATATATATATATATATATATATATATTTTGAATATACATACATACATACATATCTATCTATCTATCTATCTATCTATCTATATATATATATATATATATATATATATATATATATATATATATATTTCATACAACGTTCTGAAGAGCAAATGACATAATAGAAAACCAATACATCAAGATTTTAGGGAATTTCAAATACCTAATATATTACGTTCTGAAAATGACCAATTATGGTTGAAAGCGTACGGATAGTTGTAACACATACAAGAAAAAAAAACGTCTATTAGCTTTTATGAAAACAAAAGATTTAATGCTTCTTTTATCTTTGACCACGTAATATTTGCATCGATAAAATCTGGAGAGTGAAGAGTTGTTTCTCTTTAATGTGAATATCGCAGCGGTCATTAAATGATTATTTTAAAATATAAGAGGGCTTTTCTTGCATCAATTAAAGGCGCTTAAGCGTATTATAAGGGTTAGCGAGATAATGTAGTTAACCATTATCACTGTGTAATGAGTCCGATCCTTAATGGTTGCCACATACGTGCGGCTTTGCGTCAATTTAAGCTAATCTTAGTAAATGACAACAGCAACTGTTGCCCGGATATCTTTTAATTTTTCGATGGTTTTGTATTCATAATGATCGCTATGCTTTTGTCGTGTAGGGTCCTGACGCAGGACAAGTACATACAAAAGCACAATTTGAATATCATTGAGTGATAGCTCAGGCACATTTGTGTTTCTTCAAAATTCACAGAATCCACATGTGGTCTCTACTGCAACTATACTCAGCAAATCTAAGGCCCTAACACAGATGACCGGCTGTGGAAAATATACGTAGTAGTCGCATCTAGTAGTATAATAGCATCAACAGCGTCTTCAAAGTTCATACTTACAAAAAGAAACACTCTCCCTTCTTTTTCGCCTAATGCAGCGCTTCTTAAATTATGGGTCGCGACTCCAAATAGGGTCGCGAAGCGAAATGCTGGGGTCGCGAAAATTAAATTCAAACACTTGAATTTCCGTTTATATGTTATATAAACAAACGCCCAATATTTAACGTGATGCGCCACGCATTTGGTGCGATAATAAAACGGGCGTGTAACGCCATTTCAGTGACAACAGATGTATTTTCAGTGTAGTTGGTTAATAGCTGGGGTCGCGAAAAATCTCTTCATGAAAAATGCGGTCATGAATGAAAAAAAAGGGATGGGGGCTGATGGGGTGAGTGGTAATAAATATTGCATGCAATTTCAGCCCGCCGTGTATTTTGCTCTCGTTCTTTACTTTTGGTTCTATACCATATTGCTGAAAACGTATTCAGTGATATAGAAACCTTCTCAGTAGATGTGCACATCATTCGTTTTTTATACATTGACTGCCAACCACAAAATAGCATGTTGTTGGAAGTTTTTTTGTTTTTTTTTATGACCCCATCCACGAGTTATCTCGTTTTTGTGGTCTTGCCATTTATGCTAAAAGCACGGTTTTTACGTTGTTTTTAATGCATGTAGCTGGTAAATGACATCTAAGACAAGAATGAAAATTCGTACTAGCAATTAAAACAAACTTTGTATAGGGAAAAATTATTGAAAATATAACACATGAATGAGTCATTTGAAAAAGAAATATTATTGTTTTAGTTGTTTATTATAATGTTGGCGTTCGAAGTCAGATTTCGTAATTGACCTCTGGCAGTCAATGTGTTTAGTGAAATAAACATTTTGATACCAATAATGCTTCAATATTTTGTAAACTAAAAATGTTAACTTCAATAACGAACTAGATAATTTACCGACAAAATTTTTCTTTGATGTCTCCACTTTCCAGAGAGAAAGTGAGCATTTGCTGTCGACTGCATTCGTCAATGTACTGTGTGTTGTCACGGATACATTCAGCATGAGCGGCGTACACTAGAGAAAAAATATATGAGGTAAGTAAGTGTTCAATAAAGTAATTCGTACGCAAACAATGAATTAAACAAATTATAAAGACTGCACCCTCCAATCATATTACAAATATAATAACACGACGTTAACAATGGCTTAATAGTAACAGATTGATGTGAATTTGTCGTACAAACAATTTATCTATTTTGGGGATTCAGGGTATCTGTTCTTCAGAGCATCACCTAGTATTTGGTAAATTGATCAGATTGGCTAACTACATCCTCAGTATCAGTGAAGAAAGGCATTAGCTCACTTTATAATCATTTGAATTAAGTTAGTTTCTTTCTTTTTTAAATCAAACATTTATATAGCTTTGTCAATTAGAAAGGTAGATGCCCCTTTAGTTGCCACTGTAGACTTGTTCTAACATAAACACATCACTTTGAATTAATAAAAGCACACATTGTCAGCTCAAATACGCAGGCCAATAGACATAGTATGTTTAAAGTAAAAATAAAAATGATGCCTCTATTCCAAATATGCGTAGCCACTATAATAACATTTGAATTAATAAAAATGTAGGATTAAAAATAAATCCATTAACCACACAAACGTATATATATATATATATATATATATATATATATATATATATAACTAAATGACACTACTTGGATTAAAGAAAACAAAGATAATTTCGATGTCCCAATGGGAGCATATGATTCAGCCCAAATAGCAGATGTAATAGGTATATAAATTTTAGATATCCTAATCAGATTCCTAAAACCCCAAAACGTAGGGCTGTACAGATATGATGGACTTATTGTTATCCCTAATACCAATGGTCCTCTAACATCCCAACTACAGAAGAAAATAATTAAGGCCTTCCAATTTCTGGGATTTTGAATCGAAATATCATTCAACCTAAAAATCTTGAATTTTCTAGACGTTACATTTAATCTCTACAATAACACTACAAACCCTTCCAAAAGGAAAACCAATCACCCATATACATAAATATCAACTCAAACCACCAGAAAGCAATTATAAACCAAATTCCAAATACATTAAATGCAAGAATAAACAAACTGTATTCTAGTAAAACAATTTTTAACCAAAACAAATCGACATATAATCAAGTCCTATTAAAAAGTAAATTTAAACAAAGTTAAATTATATAGATAAACCAATTAAAAACAAATCCACAGTCCAAAAATAGGAAAAGGAAGATTATATGGTTCAAGCCGCCTTTCTGTAAACTATCTAATATCAATATAGGGAAATACTTCCTAAAGCTAATAGATAAGTATTTTAGTAACGATGAGCTATTGAAAAAGATGTTTAATAAAAATGAATCTAAAAATTAGTTATTCAAGCATGAGCAATGTAGAAAAACTTGTAAGCTCTCATAATAGCAAAATTAGTAGGGAATTTCACAATAACCAATTACAAAGGGATCTTAATGCAAATCAATTGAAAAAAGAAACATCTACTTGCAATTGCAGAGCAGGATCTGATTGCCTAGTAGGAGGAATATGCATGGCAGAAAACGAGATATACGAAGCTACAATTTCCCCCAAAGAAAATATAAAACAAAAAAAGATATATATAGGAATATCTGTGGGAAATTGGAAACAGCGTTTTTACAACCATCGCCAGTTCTTCACAAATGAATCTAAAAGACACCAAACAGCACTATCGAAACACTATTGGGATTTATTGGAGAACGGCAAGTGAAATGGAGAATCGTCTCTAGGGCTCGAACTCTAATAAATTTCAGAGATCGATAATATAAAAGACAAGATCCTAATGATAAAGCATAAAGATCCTGATAAATTACTGAACCAACATAGCGAGATGATTTTTTAAATGCAGACATAGAAATTATCTTAATTTAACGTACTACATTAAAAAAAAAAAAACTATATACGATGGTAAATATTGGCTTATTTTTAGATTTGAAGATGATTGTATGCACACATGTGTGCGGATACATAATTGTATGTATACAAATGTGTATATGGACTTGGATATGGATATGTGGATTTATGTATATATGTATATACATGTATATATCAATATATATATATATATATATATATATATATATATATATATATATATATATATATATATATTGGGCGCGTGTGTAAATATGTATGTGTGTATTCGTAATTTTGGGTAGGTATATGTATATGTATCGATTCATATATATGGGGTTGCATGTGTGTTTGTATATGTATATGTGTGTGTATATATATATATATATATATATATATATATATATATATATATATATTTATGAATTCATA